TGTTTGTTGTATGGATGAGCTGGTGGATGTCAGAGGTAGACAGATGTTTCTCCAGCTGTTGTCTTTGTGGCTGGTAGTCTAGAGTTGTAGAGCAGCATTGTTTGGTTAGAGCAGAAACAAAGACATTTATGAATCCGTCTCTTCTTCTCTTGCTCTCTAACTCGTCTGTAAACATGTGTGGGGAAACTCAATGTTAAAGCCTGCAGCTGGAGGGGGAGGGGAGGGGTGAAGCTGGTGGTTGTGAGTCTGTGAAAGTGAATCCTGCCGGTGCCATAGCTGTGAAAACGTACTTAGTGCAGACACAAAACGTCCATCAGCTTCAAAGTGTGTCAGAAAAATGTCCACATGGTGACTGATGGATGAGAGAGGTCCCATTTTTGTTGTTGTGCACAAATCATTGAACAACACAAACACTTAGAGCTGCTTTCAGTGCTGCCTGCTTTGTTACTGCACACATTTCTGATGGTCCTACAGTCCAACGTAGCAAACATCTCCCTGAAGCCTCTTCTTAGAGACCAAAGGTTGGATCAGAGCGAGCAGCTGAAAGGACACATCTATGAATGCAGTCAGAGACTTTCTCACAACCTCACACTTCATCTGATCAGGTTTAGACTCAGGTTCTCTGTTAGTCAGTGAGATTTCAGACTCACACATTTATATCTATCTTAATCTTGGATCAGTTGAACACACAGAGGATAACACAGTCACCAGCTGTTATGTGTGCTTCTCTGCTTCAGAAACTAAACAGTACCAGGGTTACATGTTGATATTTATTAAATAATTGTTTTCTTATTTTTGTATGTGTAACTGTAACTCTATCCTTTCATGAAAATTTTTGCATCTGATAAAAGTGAAAGAAAACCAGAAAATCATTCAGAAGCAATTCATCCTAGAGTGGTTTTCATTTGAAAGTTAAGTTAATTTTCTTTTTCCTAAACATATGTTTAATTAGCATGTGGCTAAACCTTTAAGTGATGCACTGTTGACCTGGTGTGTGGTAACAGGTTAACTAATCACATCCAGATTAACTCAAATGTAAGATAAACAATATTAACATTAAACATCAACAACGACATAATTCCCCCATGATGCAGTACACTTTGTACAGTCCACTCAGCACTTCCTGGGGTTTCTGAGGCTCCTCATTTGCTCGTTCATTGACACTGATGACTTACAGAGACTCTGAGCATTAGTATCGTCACTGATTTCTAGAATCGTTTCGATTTGATTTGAATCGCGGAAATTTTGCCTCAGACAGTCAGAAATATTATAATTCTGATCACTAATCAGTGCATATCCATATTTTTATACCTATAAAAAGAAAGCTGACACTTGTGAGACTTCATCAGAGGTGTAAGCAGCACAGCAGATGCCTTTGTGTCAAAGTAACTGAGGTTAAAACACAGAAAAACATGAAGGAGATTGAAGTACACAGAGAGAGAGAGAGCTGTGCATGAAGTGTGATTTTTATCGTGCTGGAAGCAAAACAGCAAAAGTAAGAGGGAAACCATGATGATTTTTCAATCTACTTTTGCTGCTGGTTCCGTCAGTTTTGGATGGAGAGAGAAAAAACCTGTTGGCTTTCAGCCCCGACGGTGTGTCCATGGGTGAGAAAGGCGACATCTCACTGATACTGATTTGTCGGTGGGTCCACGCTTTGTGTTTACATATTTGTGCAGAATCCGTGTGCCTGCTCTCATTTACTGCTTTAACCTGAGATTCTGGCGTTTCGGGCAAAATACATTTATATTTAAAAATTGATTCAGGATTTTAATGAATCAATATCACGTTATCCAAGCCAGAATCTTATTTTAATCTGAAAATTGATCATCAAAACCCACCCCTAGTGAGGATCAAACACTGGAAAAACAAAACAATGAGCACATTAACTGCACTGAATATTAAAAGCAACTTTACACCAGGAAACCATCAAATGTTCTAACCTGTCCAAATGTTTGAGATATTTATACAGTATAGAAACTTAAACAGTCAATTTTCTGGATGTTACATTGTTGTCACCCCTGAAACATTGTTTTCAGTATATCAAACTGTAAGTATGATGTTTGCTATATTGTGTACTGTACTGGTGGATTTTTCTGTGCGTTTTCATTTAAAATCAGGAAACGCTTGATCTGACCAAAACTGCAGCCTCCATCTTGTTTTGAAACATGGCCACCAACCCCCATAAAACCCACAACAAACCTGCATTTCCACTATTTTAATAATGCTGGAGCATACACTGACTCATGTGATTATTCATATTTATGGATATAATTAGAATCTTTTTTTGAGATACTCAAATCACCAGTTGACTCCCAGGGCATAAATTATTATAAGGTACTTACCTATATTATGTCCTGATAGTTTAACCTTAGAGTTGAATCCATGTGTAGCAGACTCGGTGCTCCCTGCATGTTTCAGGTGTTGCTGTTACAGAGAGAGGACGGCTGCTGTCACTCTGTCAGGTTTAGATCAAACTAAGCTGGCAGTTTATCTGAATACAGGCAGGGCTTATTGTAAAGTTTATATCTTTACTGCAGCTGTGTTAAAAACATGGCTGCCCTCTTGCTTTAATTTAAAATTTAAAAATTTTCTTTATGCTGGTATTTTGATCCCTGATCTTCCAGCTAAGCAGGGTTACTGATCAGTTTCCAAATTCCTGAATCACTGCCTGGACCGTTCTGCAAACTTTGTAGGAGACTGAGCTCATCAGTGACCAGCTGTGATAAACTGTTGTACAGTAAATTCCATGAAAGCCTCAATTCAGTTTTTCTGTGTAACAACTGTATTAAATGTTGTGCATTTTACTGAAATTTATTCAATAATTGTATGACTTAATGACACTGAGCTCACTGAGATGTTGTAGTGGAAAAAGTCATGTTTTAGCTGTATCTTTGAAAGCAGTCTGTCAGTTTGCACTGTTTTAAATATTATTATTATTATCATATTATTTGAAGTGCTTCATATATAAACATTGTAAACTGTGTACACAGTGTAGTTTGGTTGGTGTGACAGAGCTGTTATCACTGAATCACAGGCTCAGATGTTTCAGCCTCATAATAAACAAACACAGGTTCAGAGCCTCAAGGATTTGACCTTCCAAAAGTCTCAGACCTTTATGAAACCCACAGAACCACAGGAGGAAAACATCTGAGACCAAAAGTTTATTAATCCTGCAGAGAAACTGCTGTGGGAACAAAAGCCAACAAACATCAAGTCAATAAAACAGGTCAAATTATATAGAACAGCTGGATGAAACCAACATGACCTCTGACCCTGAATAAGCTTTTCAGACGTATTAAGTAGTATTTTTTTTAATATATATATTTTTAATTTTTTTATGGCAAAAACAAGATGACAGCTGCAATTCTGGTCAGATCCTGTGTTTCCTGTTTTTAAAAGAAAAAGTAGGAAAAAAATCACCATCAGTATGAACATTTTCTCACTTTATACATGTTGTCAGTTATTTTTTAACCTAATCTACTGAACTAGAAGAGGAAATGGATTCTGTTCTGTTGTTCACTCATCACCTACCTGACAGCTGACACCTCACACCTGTTTCTCACCTGCAGGTATACTAGGAGGATTCCCTGTATGGATGGTTGCTCTGATAGTTTGTGTGGTACTTCTTTCGGGAACTCTTCTTTTTCTTATTTTTTTTTTTCTGACCTACACAAAAATACAAGAACAGAGAATAAAACGTCGCAAGCAGGTTGGAAGGTCTGCAGGGTTTTCAAAGCTGGACTCTGAGTCTCCACCTGCTCTTCCAAGAAGTCAGAGCTGCCCAACACGGAGAAAAAAAGATGATCAAGGACAGAAAGAGACTGATGATGCTGAACTTCATCTTTAGTCTCCATAGCTGAACTGTGAATCAGACGATCTGAGGACATAAATGAACTCTCCTGAACATCCAGCAGTCGACTCTGATGATCATCATGTTCAGACTCAGACCAACAGTGTGTGTCTGTGCTGTCTGTCAGTGACTCTGAACTACAGTTTATTCATCTTCAGGCTGTTCATGAGATTTACTGACACAAAGTCAAACTGTGTTACAAACATACATGAATTTCTGAGCTCAGAGTCAGTGAGTGTTTTTGTGTCTTCTGTGTTTTCTTCTGAATCCTGCATTTAGGTTCCATCTCCTACCTGCCGAACAATCTTTGACAAAAACCTTGACTGGATTAGTGAGAATTACAGTTTTACCTTAAAGCCAAGAGTCACTGACTGCAAGAACACATCAGGTTTTCAGCAGTCACATGACTGTAATCAGAGTAGAGGAGAGTAACTGAGTACACTTCCTCTTTGTGATGGAGGTGATTTTCCTATTCATATTGTGTCAGTGTGTCTGAGCTGCAGTCAGTCACACAAACAGGTTGAACAGGGTGTTTTCTGTGCAGCACCTGCATGTAAAACAGAAGCAAAGCTGTTCCTGTGAAATGAAACTGAAAGCCTCTCTGAGCGTCTCCCTGTAGAAAATGGAGGCTGCAGACAAAATGGAGGAGTGTTTGAGACGTGCAGATAAACAGTCAGCTTTGGAAATTTACTGAGGTACAGACCTGAGTACATACAGGAGGGTGCATGTTTGAGCTTTTCATTCATTTTTACAGCATTTCTGATCCCTTACAAGTTCATAAAGTACAGAGACAAAGAAAAAACACTTTAAACAATTAAAAAATAAAAGATTATGACACATAAAAATAACAAAAACAAATAATAGCTAAAATTATCATAAGAAAGGAGGTAGACTTTAGAAACACTGAAATTTCTAAAGTCTCTACTAAATCAGGGTCAAATGTGTGTGAGGGTCCAAGAAATTTGCTGGATGTGAATTATCATGTGCAATGCCCCAGTTTGACCACACGGGGCAGTGTTGTTTTACACTCAGACTGTAGGACATAATAACAGTGTTGGAGTGTGAAAGTAAATCAGCTTTTCTCTCAGTGTATCCAGAGTGATTTCTGATGACATCAAACTGTTTGTGTGTCTGTTGTCACAGCAGCAGCAGCCATCAGTGACACCAGCACACAAAAGCAACACAACAGCAGGTTCAAATACTCAGTGATACAATTTTATAAAGGGCGACTGTTGTTGTGATATGGCACTATATAAATAAAATTGAATTGAATTGAATTTCTAATGTCTGACCAGTTTGTAGTTTATGTGTTTGAGTTCAGTTTAAAATAGCTAAAGGAGCTTTAAA